AGTGGATAAAAGACTTTTATAATAAATCATAGAGGAGGACTGGTTATTATCACAGTTTTAAATTTTCATTTAAATGCACTCAGAGCGCCGTGCAGCGTCCACACTGGGACTCTCTGACGGCAGCGTTTGACCCGTCGGCCACTTTTAAAACTTCGCCTGATTTACCGTAACGCTTCCAAACCGGTCGGAAAGCAACTGTTGACCTCTTTGGCAGCCGCAGCCAGCGAAACCGTCCATTCCTCCCACCGCCGTCACCCCGAGCACGTGTGGAGGCCTCTTCTCGGGGCTCGATTAGCGGCGGCTGTGGAGTCGCCCTCATGCATTATGCATCAGGGACGGTGCAGCAAACAGAGAAGGTCGACGACTGCCATTTAGCCAGAGGAGCGGCGTACAGTAACGTAGCTCTACTCGGGTTATTCTGGTCCCTGATTTGCATAAACAGAAAGAAATCGCAGATAAAGTCCAGTATTTAAAATAATAAACCCTGAATCATTTATATGAGTCACATCAGGTCAGTGTTTCACGAGCTGATGCAAGAACAGCAGCTCGGTTTCCTCTGCAGGGGAATTTTTTTCAAACAATTTCTGTTTGACGATTAGCTTAAAAATGCTGCAGCATCAAATGTGGATATTTATAAAGATATTTGTGAAGCTTTAGGTTGATATATCAAACACTTCCCAAGATAAATTCTTTTAAAAACTGCCCATAAATGTTTTCGCTGATATAATTTGAGGTTTGAACGACAACATCTCAGGAATTATTTAAGATAAAAGCCTGAAATTTTCACCTTTTTTTCGTCATCGTGACCGATTCAGAATCAGCGAGACTGGACAAGTTCACTTGATAGTCTCTGATTACGGTGGAGTTGAAAAATCAAAAAAATAAATTGAAGTCATCGTGAAAAGTCCCATTTTTTCGAGCACGTTAACAAACAAAATTGTTGTTGCAAAACTCAGCTGGTGATATTTTCTGAACTATGTGTAGCTGCATGTCCAACAATACAAAACACAAACGAGAGAATTCAGTTTTAATGTGAAATACTTAGTGAGACAAATGAAAGGAAGGTTATCTTTGTTGCGCTTTGACAAGTTGTTCCCCCAGAAACCACTGCAGGATCGCCTCATTCAAGGAGAACAGAGCTGTAGAGTTTCAAAATTGTTCTTCGTAAGTTCTTCATAAGTACAGTAAATATGTTGTTGGTTGCTCATGTGGTGATGATTTGTCACTTTTTAAATCAGTCAATATTCGAGTGACGCCTGACCTTCAATGATATCATGATATCTGTCAGGAAATTTGCAGTAAGGCGTCTTTCTCAAACTGCTCCGCCCTGATTTTAAAGCAGTTTCTGCTCCACCAATCGCCTTAAAGTGCTTCAACATAAAACATAAACTATGGATATTTATAATAGTATTTGTGAGGTTTTGGATTTGATATGAGGGCTGCAGGGTGGCGCAGGTGGTTAGCACTGTCGCCTCACAGCAAGAAGTTTGCCTTTATCGAGCAAGGAACCGTATATGGTAACTTCTGCAGGCTTTAAAAATGGCAGCGAGCAGAATCATGTGACGTCATCCAGCCAATCAACGAAGGCTACATCACAACACAATCACTGTGGCCTCTGACCAATCACGAGTGAGCCAGAGTGTTGGAGCAAAGTGGCGCAGTTGGTTAGCACTGTTGCCGGTTCGTGTCCCGGTGAGGACACCAGGATCTTTCTGCTTGGAGTCTCCATGTTCTCCCCGTGCAGCGTGGGTTCTCTCCGGGTTCTCCAGCTTCCTCCCACACAGTCCAAAAACATGTTGAGGTTAATTGGTGATTCTAAATTGTCCGTAGGTGTGAATGTGAGTGTGCTTGGTTGTCTGTCTCTAAGTGTAGCCCTGTGATAGACTGGTGACCTGTCCAGGTGAACCTGCCTTCACCATGAGTCAGCTGGGATAGACTCCAGCCCCCCATGACCCTAGTGAGGACTAAGCGGTGTATAGATAATGGATGGATTTGATATATCAAACACTTTCTGCAATAAGTTCTCTTTAAATTGCCCTTCGATCCACTTTTAGCACTTTTTTTCACGCATTGACAGTAGATGTTTGAACGACAACATCTCAGGAACTACAAAAGATAAAAGCCTGAAATGTTCACTTTTATTTCTCATCATGTCATTTATTTAGAACATTAGGTGGCCACTGTTTCTACATGATGCATCTTTTAGGGTTTTAAATGGTTTATTTACCTCCAGAAAGTTTTTCTTAAAAGATCAGATTCACTACATTTGAAGATTTTTTTTTTTTTTTTTCAGCAACAGATGAAGCCTCGATAAACAAGCTTTGCATTGCAAAGACTTGGACGAAGACGAGAGGGTTTGATGTGGGACACTCGCTCTGGGCCATTTCTGTCTTGACCTGGTAAAAAAGTTTCACTCTCTTTAAATAATTGACAAAAACAACCAACAAAAAGAAGAGAGATCTTGTGCACAGAAACCAGGCCAGTGGGCTTCAGGTGACGGAGTCCTGATTACGTGAAGTTCAAGGCTTCATGATCCTCTTTTTCTGAGGGAGACACTTCGACTGGGCGTCTTTTACTGATCTCAGCTTCTTCAGCCTGTAAATAAATCTGAACTCTTCAGCCCCACAACACATTCCTTTACTTCATATGATGACAGAAAACACGCCAGAGTGCAACTTAAACACACGTACGTGGTTCTTTTCCATAATCCAGCAGCGCGTGACTTCTCTCCGTCGCTACCAATTACTGCAGCACCGGTCTGATCAGGTGAAAAACGCCTCCTCCACACTTTTAATATGCAAATGCCAGAAATCCTCTCCTCCGCCGCCGGCCTCCCCCACACTTTGACTGATTAAATATTCATGATCTGGGTGATTACCGTGCATTACACTTCCAGGAGCGAGCCTCCGCGGCGCCGGGGTCCGCGACACCGGATTATTAAGGATTATTTAGGCACAATGTAGTCACATAAATGCGGGAATAATCGAGAAGCTGTGTGTGTGTGTGTGTGTGGAGAAAGGAGAGGGTAAATACAGTGAGAGGGGAGCATATGGCGGTGGTCTGGATTAGGAGTTACGGCTCCCCGGGGTCCCACTTCCATCTATTATTCATGTTTGAGAAGGTCTGATAGCCACTCAACCTATGTTTGGTTACAGGCAGGCTTGAAGGAGGTCCTTATTTTAGCCCTTTTTTTCAGCCTGAACCCATGCTGTGATCACTCATGCATAACAAACACATATATAGCAAACGTGTACGGACTTGTTTTATTACTGTAAATTGAAAAAAAAAAAAAAGCCTCCTTGAAATACGTGAATCAGCCTCTATTGAGCCGTATTTCTAGGCACAGCGTCGTCCTGCTCATGGTTTATAAATCAGTGCAGAGGTGGTACCTTTTTATGGGCAGCTTCTTAGCGCTGATGCATAGCGGCTAAAAATAGCCCCGAGTGGTGGATATTCTTTGAGATTAATAAAATCTACATGCAGCAGGTTTGAAGGTCTCCTCGTCTCTGCTGCAGCTCCTTGACTGTGCACGTAAAGGTCAGCTTAACAGTCGGGATCTTCGTTATTGTGCGTCTTTGCAAGGAAACAATGTGGGAAGATGCAGAGTAAGAACCAGAAAGATGCTTTCGAGCATCATGCTGTTACCAGTTTTATTTTTACAATAATTTCTGCTCTACTGTCTCTGATTTTCCTAAAATATTTTATAGCATGAAATATAGATATCTAGCTTGATATGTTAAGTAGTTTATGAGATAGATTCTTTGCAAAAATGCCCTGTCGACCCATTTTCAGTAGTTTTTTTTGAGGCTGTTTAAACGAAAATATCTCAGGAACTATAAAAGATAAAAGCCTGAAATTTTCACTGTTATTTCTCATCATGTTATTTATTCAGAATCTGCAAAACTGGACAAGTAGATCAAATAGTCTTAATAGAATAATGTCGAATGCAGAAGTGGTGTTTTCTGTAGCTGCATGTCACAATAATACAAAACTAAACATGTAGAATGTGTTTTAATATCACCAAAAATAAAAAAGAAGTTATTTTTGTTTAATTAATGGAGCGGGTTCGACAAGTTAAACCACAAAAACAAAAGCATTGGTAGATGGTCTGATCCAAGGAGAGTTCTTGAGTTTCAAAATGATTTTCTAAATTATAATAATAATCATAACTTATGGGCATATTTTTCGTTGTCTGACCCGTGGAGATCATACTTGATAGCATCAAAATGCATTTTCTTGCTTTGTGTTTAGTTGGGAATAAACTCAGACTCTGCAGAAAGTTAAAGGAGCTGCTGAAGGATTTACCTTCAAGTGTCAGACGTCTTTATCTTCACACTGGAACAGGAACTATGTTGATGGTATCTCATGTGCAAATGCTCCGTCGCTTTTAAAATCTATTGCACAGTGAATAAAGACGTAATTTTCTTAAATTATATCATAATATCTGTCAGAAAATTTGCAATCAGATATTTTTTTCCCCCATATTGTTGATTTACTTTGAAGGTTTTGGATCTTTGTACACTGAACCGAATCAAACTAAAGCTGATCGATGACTGAAACCAAAAATGTCATGACGCAGCAATTATGTCATGATATGGAAGAAAAAAAAATGTTTTGCTTTAAAACACTGAAGCTGCAACCCTTTAACCATCCTATTACCTTCAAATTTACTGACATCTTTAATCCTTGGGTTCATTTTGACCCCAGCAATTTAAAGCTCCACAAATTTGTCATAATTAAAATTGTTCCCAAGTTTATGTGTAAATAGCCCTTTAAATAAAATATTATGTCAATCACTTGTTAAGAGACGTTAAACACTGAATGGGGTCAAATTGTCCCCAAAGATAACAGGAGGGTTAAAATCACTGTGAGACAGAAGTTGGAGCTTCTTTATCTTTTGAGGCGTTTCTATGAGCTGATTGGTTTAGAAGAGGTGAAGGTTTGATCTACAGAGGTGCCTGTAATTCTAGTTAAATGCATTTCCATGTTGCTGCCTGCAGGTGTGGAGGGGAACCATCGCCAGGATGCGGTACCGGCGGATGCGAGCCGCCCTCATCATCCTTCGCGCCTACAGACGCTACAAAGTCAAGTCCTACATCCGCGAGGTCAACCGTCGCTTCAAGAACGTCCGCTCCATGAAGGACTACGGCCGACACGTCAAGTGGCCGACGCCTCCCAAAGTCCTGCGCAAGTTCGAAGACGCGCTCAGGAGCATCTACAACAGGTACGAGATGTTTGCCTTTCATTTTAAATGCTGGTTATCTGCTGCCAGGTTTAGGTAACGCTGCTGCAGCTGCTTCTGATCCAGAGCATACACTGTATAAAAGATGGACGTAGCTACCATGACATCACCCATTGGTTCCTGCACTGAGAAAATGAAGCCAGGGTTTTGCTACTTCCTGGTTGACATCTTGGATTTTTGGAGCCAGTGACGCAAAAATCGTCGGAGGGGGGGCGGAGCCATAGGAGCAGCGATTGGTCAGACGGATTGAGAGGCGGGCCCTCTCTGCCCCGCCCACATTTACCGCCTTCTGCTCGCTTTGTCTGTATGGTCGCTGCCAACTGTCAATCAAGCCAGCCACGCCCCTTGCCCCGCAAAATGTTGACCATTTTTTTAAAATTCAGTGTTGATTTATTTTCAGATTGGCCACCTGATCTCTGGACTTGACCATGAAAACTAATAAGAACAAAATCCTGAGCTGTAGGAATGCAGTATTTCATGATCTGTGATCACTTCTTTTCCAATTCCAGTCTATGGGAGCCAGGGCTTTTTGGAGCCAGGACTAGCGGATGTAGTGATATTGCAGGTTTTTGACACTTCCGGGTTGGCTTCATTTTTCAGGGCCGGTTGCTACGTTCATCTTTTATACAGTCTATGATCTCAGTTCACACGTTTAGACTTTCATCAGACTGTTCCATTCAGAGCAGAGGCAGAGGAGGAGCCTTCCTCAGCTATAATGTTGTTAAAGTTCTTTCTTTTGAAGAAAATCGTTTCCCTAAATTGGTGGAGTCTGACGGCAGAAACAACGCGCTGCCTCCAGTGTTATTTTACATCCAGATGAGTCCATTTGAAGCAACATCCACATGTTTCCTCCTGCCTCCGGCTCACGCTGGCCATTGATTTTTCTTCCTCCATCAAAGACTCATCACTGCCTTTCATCCCCACGTCTGCCTTTTTTTCCTCTTCTTCTTCTCGAGGCGGGGCACAGCTAGAAAATAGCCCTCCTGGAGAATTATGTCGGCTGTCAGGATGTGTGAGTGAAGGGCCGATGAGCGGAGTACAGTACAGCTGCTGACCCGACCGCAGCACCGAGCCTTTGTTCAGCGTCCTCACGTACACACAGTCGATCTTCTTCTGAGCTGCTGTGTGTTTACCTCCAGGTGGTGGGCATGGACGCTGATCAAAGGCCTGTCTCCAGAGGAGGCCCTGCAGGTGAGGGCCAAAGTAGCCTGCCTGGAGGCCCTGAAGGGCCAGAGGGCCGACCTGGGGCTGCAGAGAGCCTGGGAAGGGAACTACTTGGTGAGTAGGTGTGATGGTGTGGGCGGAGGTGGAGCGCAGGAGGGAAGAAAAGACGCGTTGTACGAAATGAAAGAAACACTGTGAGCTTTTGTTTCTGCAGCTATAATAGTGTTTCTCTGAAATTAGAGCCGAGTGAGGAACCTCAACGCTTCATAGCTGTTGTCAGACGTCTAATTCAAGATCTTGTTTTGATCAGATTGTCTCAGATTTCACTTAAAATTTTGCTCAAATTTGTATGTTTTGGGTTCATTTATGTGGTTCAGTGAACATTAACCCTCTGCGTTTTTGTCTCTGGTCACATTTTTACTCACTGTGGGCTCATTTTTCACTCTAATATAAAGTCTGCGCCTCTATTAAAAGAAAACAACCACGACTAGAAGTAGAGAGAACCTGTAAAAGTGTTCAATGCAGCATAAAAAAAAATAGTGATGCCATGAATCATAAAAACAAAAGTTGAATTCCTTTGATTGTTTATTTTACAAATTAAAAAAGAAAGCTTGAATCATCTTGTACAACATTATTCTTAGTGTCTGCAGATGTTCACTAGAAATACAAATGTGACACTAAATACTACAGATGTTGAATTATTTGAAATACACAGCCTGTAGTTCATCCAAGAAGTTCCTGAATTTTTATCACATGGCTGTTGATCACAGCTGAGTCAATAAAAGCTTCACGGTTATGTAGAGGAAGGCAGAATTTTTTGTTTTTTGCAGAATCTGAGTATTGCAGATTGTTTATTTTTGGTAATTTTTTTAAATTAAGTATCCCAACAAAACAAATGAAGAGTTCAAGGTCCATCAGAAATGTGAAAAACATGGTTTTTTTTCTGTTTTGACAGTTTCTGGCTCTGATAAATGGCGTGATTTTGTCAATTTGTCCTTTTCTTAGTATAAAAAATACAGCCTTGAAATCTACTGATGGATTTTGGGGTTCAGAGGGTTAATATTAAATATCAGAAAAAAAAGATTCTGGGAGCTCATTTAGACCTGCAGTGTGTGATGCAGACAAAAGCATCACACACAATGATATATAGATAGAAACACACAATATACATGATGTAACAAGTTGAAAGTGATCATTGATCTGTTTTGCCTTGAGCCATTGTTTGAGATGATTCATAAAAGCTGGATGTGTAGAGCACAGGAGAGGTGAACTATTTTAATATTCACTTATTCTGAAGGCACAGTTTGTCCAAATGTTCATGTTCGGCCGCTTGTTTCCTGAAATCAGTACAAATTCAAGGAAAACTGGCTTTTTTGTTCATGTTTTGTGGAAAATAATGCTAATATTTTTTGGGATTCAGACAATTTGTTAACTGAAACCTGCACTGACAGCGATTTTTAAAAATTCATTTTTCTTTTTATTTGAATTGAAAAAGCAAAGCATTTAATATAAAACATAAAAGATCTCATTGCTTTTCCAATATATTCATTTTTTTTTTTTAATCAGTTTATTTGTAATTATCTTCACATCGCTTAATAAAAAAAAAAAAAACACAGATAAAAAGAAAAGTCGGCAAAGAGAGCCAGTTGTGTCTAATTACAGTTCGCTTCCAGTCAAATCGGACCTTTTTGGGTTTTACATCCTCAGTCTGTTTCATCCAAGTCTGGTAAAGATAAAAGCTCAGATTTTTGCGCTTTAAGGGAAAACATCAACTATGCCACTTTATTTAATTTATTATGTTCATAGATTTTTTTAGAACAGCTTCTTCTCTTTGTGGATTAGTTTGAACTGTATTCGAGTCTTGTTTTGTGATTTCTGTGTCCGACAGAAGCGCGACAGCCCCGACACGGCGTCATCCTTCACCCTGGTGTCCAGCGAGCTGCAGCGGAAGGACAAATTCATGAGAGTTCTGTTTTCCTGCAACGTGCGCAAGGTACGATTTACGGCGTTTGCCAAACCACGTGTGCACAAACATGCAGAAATAATCTGGCATGTTTGTGTTCACCGGCTGCGTCCTGCAGGGTGACTAATTAGCGGCTTTGTGTTTCCCAGATCAACCGTTTCCACAAGGCAGAGGACCGGGCCGTGCTCATCACTGACCGCCACCTGTACAAGATGGACCCCCTGAAGCAGTACAAGCCCATGAAGAGCATCCCCCTCTACAACGTAGGCCAGCTCTCCCGTTACTGCTTCCTGTACTGCACACACAGGCTCACGAACAAAGACCTCACATGTTCTAGCATCACCGTGCCGAGGTTACCGACTGTATGTTGGTTGATCTTCTACACGCACATCAGTCCAACGCTGCTTTGAACAGTTTCTCCAGGGTTGCTCTTTTTAAAAAATTTGTGTTAGCTCAATCTCTTGGATTTGATTCATTCAGAGTGCAGCCTGAAGTGAACTTCATATCACAATATTAACAAATAGCTGGAAAAGGTGAGTCTATGTCTTATGTATGTGCTAAATTAACCAAAGAAGCTTTTTGAAATGGAGACAGAAGCCGTGTTTCAATGTGACGCTCAAGCGGATTTGAAGCAAACTTTTAAAAATATCCTTTAAAAAAAATTATAACTAAAAGAAAATGCAGAAGAAGCCGGAAACAAAACCACTTGTTTGCCGACTGCTAAAAAAAAAATAAATAAAGAAGGAACAAAATCCATCTACAAGAGAAAACTGAAGAGAAGTCTGCAGGAGTCAGTCAATATTCTTTCAAGTCAACTGGAAAACTTTTACAAAATCCTTTTAAGTTCACTTTTTCTCGTGCAACACATCAAAACGTACATAAAACCCAGCGAGTGACACTAAGAGAAAGAACAACCTGATTGTACTGATACCTGCAATCATGCATTCAGGTGAAGCAACTTTATTCAGACCTAAATACAAAATAAGGCGCTTTATGTTGGTGTTAATATGTTTCAAAGTTGATTTTAACTTGTAAAATAGGGAAAAGTAACATTTTGGTTCTCATTTGGTGCTAATTTTTTACATCTTTGCTCAAATCTGTGCCTTTTCCTTGTGAAATACGTCTCTATTTGAAACTTTCACAAAGTCTCGAGGAATCATAAGAAGTTTGTAGTCAGTGGTCAAAAATAGAAAAGGTTGGGAACCACTGCTGTGTGTAACTCCATCCATCCATCCATTTCCTACCACTTACCTTGGTGTGGCTTACAGACGCAGCAGCCAAACTAGACGTTCCACTCCGAGCTCTTTAGGAGGATCCAAATCAGAGACGTAATCTCTCCGGTGTGTATCCTGAGTCTCCACCTGAGTCTCCACCGGAGTCTCCTCCCGATTTCCCAAAACCCCTCCTCAGACGTCCAGGAGGCTTCATGAACCGACACCAGAAACACTTTTTTCAATTCAGTTTTATTTGTACAGCGCATATTTACAACAAGTCATCTCATAGCGCTTAACAAAGGCAGAAACACCCAACAATCCCAAACATTTGGATTCCCTTTAAGCTTCAGCAGTCCGCAAGCAGTGGGAAGGAACCGAAAAAAAACCTCCGACAGAACCAGGCTCAGGGAGGGACGGCCATCTGCCTCGACCGGTTGGGTGGATGGAGGACCAAAAAGTTATTAGAAGTTATTGTCCTTTTGTTCCTCCATTTCAAATGGACCAATGAAATATTCCATTTCGTGGTTGGTGGAGGTAGCAGGAGGCATCATGGGGGGGCAGCAGGATACAGAAGGTGAGGCCAGCAGCTGTAATTCAGGAGCTCCAGACCCAGAGACATCCACAGAGAGAGCAGGCGCAGGAGAACCTCGGGGGGAGTCACAGAGTTAGTCATATGTCATGGTGATAGGCAACTATAGAAACATATACATATGTATATATATATAAAGAGGAGAGGAGAGGAGAGAAGCCCAGTGCATCATGGGAATCCCCCGGCAGTCTAAACCTACAGCAGCATCACTAAGGGACAGCTCAGATGACTCCCAGCAGCCCTAACTATGAGCTTTATCAAACAGGAACGTTTTTAACCTGGTAGAGGTAAAGGTAAAGGTAGAGAGGGTGTCCACCTCCAGAACCCAAACTGGGAGCTGATTCCATAAGACAGGAGCCTGACAACTGAAGGCCTCCCATTCTGCTTCTAGAAACTCTGGGAACCAGCAGTAGACCTGCAGTCTGAGAGCGAAGGGCTCTGTTAGGATGATACGGAACAATAACGTCTTTAAGAACAATAAGGTCATTAAGACTGTTATATGTTAGAAGCAGGATTTTAAATTGGATCCTTGATTTTACAGGAAGCCAATGGAGAGAAGCTAATACTGGAGAAATATGATCTCTGTTATTGGTTCCTGTCAAAACTCTAGCTGCAGTATTCTTTAACTGGTTTCTTTCCATGTGACAGAGCGACAGTTCTGCTCTGAGCTCGAGACGCCTCTGAGAGGAAACTCATTTCCGCCGCTTGTATCCGTGATATTATTCTTTCATTCACTTTCATTCACAGCTCAGGGTCACAGGTGAGGGAAGGAACATAGACGGAGCGGCGAATAGACAGCTTCACCTTCGTCTTTACCACAACAGACCGCATCAGAACTACCTCAGACGTTGCTTGGATTCGACAGATATTTGGAGGCCTTGATGGTCTGACCCACAGAACTGGATTTAGGAGCATGTATTTAACAGAATACGACATAAAAACACTGAAAATATGTATTGAACCCACGTTAAAATGCCCCACAAAGACAAAAACTTGCATAAATACAAATACAGTCAAGACTTTTGCAAGATTGTTACCACTTTAGACGAGGATTTAATGGTTTCGGCTGAGTTATAACTTCTGGAAGTTGATTCCAGCTCTGCAGAGGATCTACATGAACAGACAGACTGTAGTTTAATCAGCAGTTTGAACTATAATTAACTCCAACTATTCTGCTTCTGGAAAAGTTCAATTACAGCATCTATGCATCATATAGTGGAACATAAGAGTCTGCCGTCGTGGACTAAAACGTATAAATCGCCCGGTTTTAATTATTGAAGCCCGAGAGCGGTAATTGGATTGACATTTGTCTCACGCTGTGCATTCGTGTTCACTTCCGTGTGAAGCTACGCGGCGGTGCTTCGTCGGTCCTGCACAGATCATAAAATATCCAGTATCTGTTTTATATCCCAACACTGAGCAAAGATGTCTCCTAATGGCTGAACATATTTAATCTTCCCGTTCATAAAGAATCTCGTCTCGTTTTCGTACGGCACCGAATTATTAATGAGCAGAGAAAGTCCCAGACGCTGGCTTTTCTGGAGTTGATTAAGCACTCGGCCAACTGGCAGAATATTTATTGGCGTGTTTAATAACCGATTATTTATTGTGGAAAAATGACTCATTCTGCTGGTTTGGGCGTCTCACATTTGAAAATGTGCTTATTTCCTCAGATAATTCCATTCTTAGTTCAGAATATTTAACTTGTGTGCAAGAAAAACACACAAATTGAAATTTCCTGAGACATTTTTGGAGTCATTTTCTCATATTTAATAGACTAAACCATTGTTTTATTGTAAAGGCAATCAACAGTTTAATTTGTTTCAGGCCTACTGGAGACATTTTTTACTGGAAATTACATGCAGATTGGTTTTAGCTTCTCTGCAACAACCAGAGAAGCATTCTGAGTCGCCGCCTGGATCTGCTGCAGAGGTGACAGTGTTGTCCCTGATCCTGTGGCAACATGTCAGTATGCACAAATCCCACTCGGCTCAGCAATTGGCTGGCTTTTAATTCACTGTTCCTGCTGTGATAGGTCCATTAATGCTGCTACATGCACTCGGCACAGGATGCTGTTTCCATGGCAAACGTGTCCTGTGTGCTTCATGCTACTTGTTTGTTTTCCCCAGCCGGAGTCAGCGGCATCCAGAGTTTCTCATCGTGTGTTATGTTTGCTAAAAGTGTCTTTTCATCCGTCGATAAATCAAGAAAGGCTTCGATGGTAAAAAAGAGAAAGATTTGCTTGTGTGGCAGTCGGAGGCCTGTAAAAAGACCATTTCATCATCGCGGTTGGTTTATATGAGATGACTGAACCCAAACCGATGACCACACCAGCCTGCAGTGCATCATTCTATACGTCATTTAGAATGCGTCTCTGCTGGCACAAACGCCGTCTGGTTCAAGCAGCACATGTGTAGAAGTCAACCACACGGCGTATACAAACCCAACGGGGTTGACTTTGATGACAAACATCGATACAATAGCTCTGCCATCAATATACTTAGTGTACAGCTTCCCAACAAGTAGTCAAAGTCTCACATGTCTCCACAGTCTGACTTTTGGTTTTTCAGCTTAAAATACTGCAAAAATGATTCATTTCATTATGTAATCTCTGGTTTTAGGGCTGTTCTGCTCTGAAAACCAACGGCGGATGAATCTATCAGTCCCTGGATGGCGGTTAGGTCGTTAGGTGTTGCGTAGCACCTGGGTCGAATTCTTACTAGCTAGAGGAGCAGCTTTTATTTAGACATCCAACAACCACAAAACCCAATTTAAAAAAATGGATTTTTGCCATATGGGACCTTTAATATACAGCAGAGCAACCGGCAGGTATCAGTTGATGGTGTCATTAACGCAACAAACTGTTGAGCTGTTCCATGTGTCGTTCAAGGTAATGCTTACATTTAGAAGATATGCTCGTCCTTTACCTCCAAAAGACAGAGTTAGCACGTAGCTGCAGTTAGCGAGCAAATAGCACAAGAATAGCAGAACAAGTGAAACCGCATTTTACAGTAGCAACATCTTGCGCAGCTAAACATGTCAGATCTTGGCGTCCATTTGAGTATTGGTGCTTCTTTCAGTGTTCTTAGTGGTCTCCATCCTTCTTTACTGTCATTAGAAGATGTTTGTATCTGTAGATATGTTATCGATTAGTTGTTTGGTCTATAAAATGTCTATTAAAAAAAAAAAGACATTTAATACTTTTCAAAGCCCAATGCAATGCCTTTAAATATCTTGTGTTGTCCAAAACCCAAAGATATTCAGTTTACTGCCGCAGAGAGGAAAGAAACTTGAAGATAATCACATTTAAGAAACTGGAATCAAAGAATTTTGACTTTTCTTCTTGCTCAAGCTGAAAAACAGTCGACAACTAATTGATTAATCACTGCAGCTCTACTGAACATTTATGGTCGTTATATTTCCTAAAGTGTTGAGCTGCTTCTTAAATATCTAACTCCCA